GCTCTGTTGTGTGTCTTGAGAGGCTGCAGATATTCATTACATAGTATTCAGTCTCCTTCACTAAAGTGGTACTGATATAACTGCTAAAACACTTACGAAAATTAACCATGGTTTTATTATAGTAAACGTGTAGCAACCGTGTTTTTGCCATATTTGCTACCATTCATATAACCACAATTGTATTAGAAATACCATGGTTGAACTATGGTTAGAGCAGCAAAACCATGGCTAATTTTGTAAGAGGAGAACACACTATAGCTAGATCTCAAACGGTGGATCATTTATCATTGTTATATATCGCCATATTGCCCAGTAAAACTGCTCAGTGTTAAAGAATTAAGCCATTATAGAGGTAACAGATTAACTTACCTTACTTTAAGCTGCTTAGAAATGATGTGTATTGGGAATGCTATGTAAATAAATAACTTAACTTGAATGAATCAAGTTGAAGATCCTTACTATTAGAGATGTCGAAAAAGGATGCAAGCGACCAAATAAATGAATAAGCTTAATACTTACGGTGAGCACTTACGGTTTAATGCAAATCACTGTATCTATAATATAATAAATCTACAGATATCAATTATAAGGCCACATTTTATTTTAGTTGTTTACCATACCGAGTTTCAGTTTAATTTTCATCCGAGTTCCGAAGTGAATGTAGACATTTTATATTATTTTATGTTTATGACTCAACAGATCGCGTTGGAATGATTAACACTTACTGTATCATCAATGGCCATAGCCCTTATCAATGTCTGCATGAAATACCTCTTCATTGCCATTGTGACAACACATTGCCATTCTCTGTTGATATGAATCTTTTGACATTGCACATTTATTCCATGTTTAAGCTGTAGTGTGGATCAATGTCAGTATGTGACTAAATAGTTGGCTAAATCAAGTTTATAACTCTATTTAATCTTACTTTTAAAAATGAAGTAGAATATCGAAGAATGATGTAGAATCAAAAACCAGACTGGAGCACTTGAATGAGCGGTGAAGCTGCAACAGAACACACGCACACACACACACACACACACAGACACTACACACACACACACACACAGTAACTTAGTATGTTTTCATTTCATATAAATTATCTGAAACAACATTACAAGAGGTGAGGAATATATTTGTCAAAATATAAACAAAAAGACACTTGAGATAATATTCCAGAACCAAAATTAAATGAAAAATATAGCATAATATCGCCTGCAGTTATTCCTGAAGAGGGGTGAAAAATGACCTAACGTTACATATACACTCAGGACTACCGCGTCTCACAAAAAGAAGGAGATCCCAAATGCCATTATTTAACCATATTTACACCACACCTATTTTTTTTTATTTAAAATACCCATTACACAGTAAATCTTAAACATAAAAATGGATTGTTTATAGTACAATTTTAATAACAGAATTACAATACAGAACATAAAAGAAGTTGATACTTTTAGTAAGTCTCGCCAGTCTTTCTCACTCACAGTCTGTCAGGAAAAAGAAGAGAAAAAAGAACATTAGTATATCATAATTAGTATCATAGATATTATTTCAAGACGAGCACATAAATGAGTGTAAATCAGCACAGCACACATGCTTTTCATGAGTGAGACATGAGTGCCTTTTTAAATTAGGAACATTTTAGCTACTTTAATACCAGGCTATTTTTAGAAATAATACTTAATTCTATACATAAAATGAATGAAAACATTAGTAGTGTAATTGTCCCTCAGTTGTGAAGTCACAGTTTCATACATTGTACAGCAGGGGGAGAAAACATACAATTGCTTTTTCTTTTTTTTTTTAAATAAACAGTGGTTTACTGAACAATGTATGGCTCTGCCTTTAAATAAACTCAATTATAATTACAAGTTTCTTAAGGATAAAAAATATATATCTTAGCTAATGCTATACAATAGAGAGCCCTATTAGAGCACAATACTAAAATATTAAAGGCTGCATTTAACAACAGAGCCCAATCTATTAAATTACATTAAATTTGTATTTAGTTTTAGATACAATAACCAACACACAAAAATTTTTTTTTAATTATGCAAACATATAAACTGCACATTTGCACATTGCAATTTTCTAGCAACAAGCTGTGGACACTGAATGACTTGCCTGCGGTAAAGGTAATGCTGTTTTATTGGCATTTTTCCGTGGTTGCAAAACTGATTGAGATTACATGACATGAGCGTGTTTGTTTCACGTTATAACCGGTTGTAACTAGTAGAAAAGAGTTTTAAAGGAAAGGGATGATGATATTTGGCTCACTCTGGGTTGGGTTATGGCACTGTTTAGGTTCAGTTCTGGCTAAAAAGATGTGGACCAGTTTTGGGCCGGCAAACACAAACTAATCTGGGCCACACTTTAGCTGTTGATATGATCCAGATCTGCGCCAAAGGAAATTTGCTGACTGGTTGCTCTCTGCGCTTCCGCTTGCAGCGGTCTGTCACACCACATCAAAGAGCGTCAAAACGGCATTTATGGATTTAATTTCCTGATAAAATATACATAATTTTAAGGACGAGACTTTGTTTCTTATTGAAAAGAACAAAACACAAACCTTACGATTACAGAATGTATAGTAATAAAGTATAGTGAAGATTTATTCACGGCTATGAATTGAAACGGATTAAGTTCCGCACATGCAGTGGTTAAAATGACACTGTATTTGTTCGGTACAATTTTCGGTACGAATAAGTGTACCATTACACCCCTAGAAAACATTTAAAACACCAAAACTGCACTTACCTGAATAAGAATGTGTCTGGGCAAAGGCTGTTGTTGTAAATAGGGAGCTTTTTCATCATCTTCTTCTTTTTTAACGGCGATTGAAAGAGGAAGCAGAGCGGGAAATAATCTCTCTCTCAGTTTCATGTTTTGAGCTCGAACTAAATCAGTGCTTGGGATCGCACATAGCTAAATATAAAGAAAGGAAAATACTGAGTAGCACTATAATCAATTAAACAGTTAAACGTATAGTGTTCAGAAAAACAAAAGACCCCTTTCATTGCACAAGACTGCATTTGGGGAATTATGGAACAATATTCCGGACAATTTTCAAAAGGAATTGCAAATTGTATTTTCAATTGCGTTTTCCATATGTGGACGCATAAATTGTGACATAATCCAAATGCAATTGCAAATCCTGCATTACCGTTTGCATTTGCGCTTTCGGGAACACACAGTGACTGCCACATTTCAAATGAAAAAGCAAAGTCCATTTGCAGCTGTATTTCCATGTCTTAGGAGTTACGAGCCTGTCATATTTAAATAGCAATATTAATTACCAGTCTGCTTTTTCACTCTCGCTGCGTCGCGCATGTAACCTGCCAAAACTCAAATGGAATCGCAATTCCTTTTGCATTTGAATTTCCGACGTCTGCACGGAGACCTGTCAATCAATGTGAGGGGGCGGGGCTATACTAGGGGGCAAAATAAAAAGAAATTAAAAAAAAAATGACAAATGCATACAACATTTCAAAACTAAACATTTCAATGAAAACAAAAAAATAAAGCTAAAAAACAATTCAAAATATTAAAAGAACAAAAGGTATGAGTATAATAATGATTCTAACATAACACTAAGCCAAACACCAAAGAACAACTACATATGTGAATGTACAGCCACACACATATAGATGTACATATATATAAATACATTCAATATATATATATATATATTATTTCATTTCCATTTTGTATGTTGGAAGTACTGAAATAACTAAAAATAAATAGAAGTAAAACTTAATAAAAAGCCTATATAGACATAATAAAAAAACGAATAAAATGACAACATTACTACAACTGTAACTAAAACTAAAATAGATAAAAACACCAAAGAACAACTACATATGTGAATGTACAGCCACACACATATAGATGTACATATATATAAATACATTCAATATATATATATATATTATTTCATTTCCATTTTGTATGTTGAAGTACTGAAATAACTCAAATTAAATAAAAGTAAAACTTAATAAAAAGCCTATATAGACATACTAAAAAACTAAGAAAATGACAACATTACTACAACTGTAACTAAAACTAAAATAGATAAATAATACAAATCAAACGACAGTAGTTTTAGTAATCCTAAAAACAATAACACTGAGCCAAACACACGCTAAAATAACAACAACTTACTGACACATAGTAAGAAATGGTTATAAAAAACTGAAACAAGTAGTAGGAAAGAGGAGAAATAAAAAGCGATACTTATGTCCCCTGCCTTTTTTATATTAAAGTATTGATATTGCTATTTAGACACATGGTGTTTTCTTACACACGTGGTGACACACTCTCTATTACGGAGGCGAGGTCCTTTCTCCTGATGAGGTAGCTGAGTGCGCCGCACCACGGATCTCGCTCTCCGTGCTACTAAGCAGGCCGCCTCTGCTGGTGGCAGATTCATGGCGGCTATGGCTATGGCAGATATCGGGAAAAAGAGAGGGGCTTTCTTTTCGATGCGCCGGTTTCGCTTTACGTATAAAGGAGCGCTCAGCGGCCTTCACGGAAAGTCCAGGTCTGAGCCCGAATAACCTAGGGGTCCTGGCCCGTCTCGGTTTGAGGATCAGAGACGAGCACAGAAGACTAGTGTCGCGACTCACGCTCCCCC